CTCTTCTAGATGTTATGAATTATTGACTTCAAATTTTAAGTTTTAATTAAAAAAGGATTTTTGAGTTACAGAAGCATTAAACAGTATTTAAAACGCTAATTTGTAATTTTGTGTTTTGGCTGCTATACTTCAGAATACCACAATGATTTTAAAATTGTTCTTTGGACAAGAAACATTGAAATTTTCAGCCTGAAGCAATAGTGATTTGGCAGGCCACACTGTAAAACCCTGGAAAAAAAAAAAAAGACGACTGATGCTTATCTTAGAAACACTGATGACATGTTAAAAGCTGTGCCAATGCTATTGCTAAAATAATGGAAGCAATAGCCCCTCAAAAATGAACATCTGTCAGCTATAATTTCTATTGCAGTTACATTTATATTTTCATCATTTGGAAAAGCTAGGCAGTAACATAGAAAAAAAATTATCACAACCAGCGGCTGAAGATAGTCATATTCACCTTGACTGTTAACAGTTTTTGCTAAAAGTTAATATGGCATGTTTTAAAGAAACTTTAATATCTGTATTTCAGCCACCATTTGCCCTTAAGGTATCCATGTATTTTGGGCTGACAAGCCACAATTTCTGCTGAAGTTTGAGGTTTTGAATTTCTCTCTGCCTGATGCTTATCTCTTCTCACAAGGAGAAAAGAGAACAAGTACATTCTTTCAATTATTTCTTTATTCCACGTGAGAATATTTCTAGTTGTTTCCCCTAATCTTTCTCTATTCCTACCATCATATCATATATCCTTGTGCTGTTCTTACACCTTTCCTTAGGTATCAATTTCAGCCAGAGAGAGCACACTCACCTAATTTTTACAACAATTTGGTGTTATCAAAGTCTGGTCAAATATTTTTATATGGCTAATTTTCTCTCAGTTATTCACCAATTAATAGTGGAATGAAGTGACCTAAAATTTTTCTAGGGTAAGGATGTACTAGATAATTTAAAAAATGGGATCACACCTCTGAGGAAAAGTCTTTGTAGTTCTCTGATGTTGCTGCATGCCTAAAAGAAAAGCTCTATAACAGGATGACTATAAACTTGTTTGATGTTAAAAAAAAAAATTAAACTTCAAGATGATATTTATTTAGGTTAAGCATTTTAAAACATATCCATTTAAAATTAATTTTCACCTGACACCCCACTGCTAAGTTGGAAAGAACATTTACCCAGTAGTAATGGCCAAAGCACTAAACTGCCCTGGCAGCCAGGCATACTGCAGTCAGGTAAAGTACTGAAGCAGTTTCTCCATTTCAGTCATATGGGTAGTTCATTCAATTCAATCTGTGAGTTGGATTATCCTTTTTAAAACTGCTTTCTACACTACATGAGAGCATCTTACACCAGAAATGGTGTAAGAAAGAAAAAAAAAATAGCTTCAAGATAGCTGCAGATCTCAGACATGCACCCTAGACATCTATGTCTAAAAAATTTATTAACACAACTATATGTATATTCTGAATCAATCTTTTCTCTTCAGCAGTTACAAAAATGTTAAGTAGCATTCTAATTTACATCCAGGCGCAGGTTAACACATCCAAAATTACTAAGTAGGTCAGAAATTTATCATCTGCTGTTCTCTAACAGAGAAATTATGTACAAATTATAAGTCTTAAAAAACATACATTACACCACAATTGCTAATATAGTCACCGATAGTGATGATGGTATTTTTACTAGTCTAAAGAACAGGTGAGATGGCTTCTGGGTAAAAGGGATAATCTTTCATTAGACTAACTGGCAGAGTTGGAAACAACAGCCAGCATTTCAAGAACAGAGCCTTTCTTTGGACCTGAAATAGAAACAGCAGCTTTTCAAGCTAACCACAATACCCTTCATTTAGTAGCAGGAAAGTACTGAAGCCTGTAGCACCACGATATTTTTTTCTGTAAAACTGGCAGCTTCCTCATCCCCCAAGAACATCTGCTTACCTGAAGAAGTGTTTGAGCACAATATCTTACCTAATTGTTTCAAATAAATCAGTTTTTCTTGTAAAAGATATTACATCTCCCTACTAGCTTTGCTCTGAGCAGATGTCTCATTTCTATTAGCAAATACAACCCAAAATTTAACCTTCCTGCTTCAGAAGAGCATTTTGAGAAAGGACTAGTGTCAAAAGGCAGCAACCCACCATAATCTCTGCAAGAATCTGCCGTAAGCAAGCTTGATGGAAACCCTGCTTGGATTTCTGTTTGTGGTGCAAGGCACCGGTGCTACTCGCAGAGATACTCTAAAATCATCCTGATGTTGTGCTATTCTCAAGAGCACTTTTAGTCCCAAAATACTGCTGCAGAAGCCAACTGTTCCTGGCTGAATTTCTACCGAAATATGGTCTGGCCATATCTACTACTTTTAATGAGCAGAAAGTGATAACAAAAACAAACACACTACGAAGTATTTAAAATGGCAGTAATAAGTAACCTTGGAAGATATCTATTCCCCCCAAATTTACATTTTTACACTACTCCAAAGATCTACTGTACAAATAACTTTAGTAAGCGCATTTATGAAATTAACCATATCTAATAAACCTAATACTGCAAAAACCAATTATGTTGATGTAACTATAAGGGAAGCGGAGATGTTGCCAACACCAAGGCACATCTTTATTCAAAGTAACATCCTTCTCAATCATCAGACAGAAGGGGGAATACAAAAATTAAAAACCCAAAACAAAACACAAAACAGAAAAATCCAAGGGATTTTCCTTCAGAAGAGTTAAATAGCCTTTAACCGAGTTTCAAAGTAGATCTAGGGTTTTAGCTGCCTGATTAAGTATGGCTTTTAACAAGTGAAGCTGTAATTAGGCATAATGACAGTGGAACAAGCAAAGTTAGAATCATGCATATTAATTCTAACTTTGGAAGATGCCCACTCTTAATGGTATGTGATGTTTTTCCCATTCAGAGAGTGTTCTTTCATCTTCAGTGTGCTGGAGCTGTGGTGGAAATTTTCCACAGCACCTATACTGGCACAAGAATTTCTTGCTAGAAGAAAGCCACAAGTACTGCATTGGCTCAGACCATGCCCAGACTCTAGCAACACCACTTTTTAATATTTCTGAAGTATTCAGAAGGTTTCAGTCCAAGAGGTAAGGAGCTCATAAGAATTCACACAATCCCGCGTGGTGGTGTGCCAAGAGGCTGCAATGGAGTTACAACTCCGTTTCTTCTGAACTGCTCAGCAGCTACCAGAATGCAGAACAATTGCCACGTTGAAGGCCTCTCTGAACTTTAATCATGACATTTCTCTAAAATCTGGAAATAAACCGCATGAGTAAGAGTCTTGGTAAATCTTTGTCAAAATCAACATAGGAGATTGTGTAGAAAAGGTTGGGCTTGATTTTGACAATCTTGATCCAACTTTTACATGACATTTAAGTCATATAGGATTAGAAAACTCCCAGCAAGCACTCCTACGTGAAAACAAATACCGCATGTAACTTAAATCAAGTGCCTAACATTGATTTTTAGGCATAGAATTAAAAAGCCTTGCACACAGACTGGTTACATGCCTTACAAACTTGTACTAATCCTTAAAGGTTGACAGTCTAAAGAAGAATCCAAAATGACACTGGATACTGATGCATCCAGTAATAATTAAAAAAAAATTCTACACAAGTCCCATTATAAAAAGGAAAACCCAATATAAAACCCATCTGCTAGCTAAGAAAGCATTTTTATTACATCTTAACAAAATTCCATCAAAAGAACAGGATTATTATATCTTTAGTATGATTCCCATTCTTCAATGCACAAAAAGCTTCTTCACTATTTTTGGTTATTTACTTTAAACTAGTAGCAGGTATTACAGATAGTTCTAGGGAAAAAAGAAAAAGCAATCACTGCTGCAGATCCACAATAAAAGACAATTATGCTAAGACAACGTATCTGTAACTCTTAACCTAATCTGCAAAAAACCTGACGAGCATTAAGAAGAGTCGTTGTTCACATACCTGAGTTTGAGAATGAAAATTCAGTATTTTCTAAATACTTCTTATACTAAATTCAAGAACACGCAGTCAAATATAAATCAACCTGCATGGAAAATGGTCCACAGACACCTAGATTGAAAAGGATTAAACCAGCCACAACAAAAGAAAACCCAACTCAACAACAGCAAGGCAAAGACGACACAGGCACTGACTACTTGAGTAGAACAGAAATGCTCTGCCACTGAAACTGTCTCTTCAGCAGTTGACTCCAATTCCTCATGTATCCAAAACAGGATTTTAAATATTTTTTTCCTACTACTTACAATCCTTCCACAAGTTCTTCATTTCTTCCCAATTATCTCAAAAGTGCTCAGCCCCCTTCCTATAGGCTCTGTTGTTTCAACTCCATTTGTGTGTCAGCCCGCAGGCGAATCTTCGTGCCATCTGACATTCCGCTTCCACAAACCCTTGAATTTATATCCACATAAGCATCTTTGCCTACAAATTCACTTAATTTTATTGCTATCCCTTCACTGAAACAGCCTTCCTCTATCACATATCTGTCTCAAAGCTTTCACCTTACCTATCCAGCTGACATTTTTTCACAAATCACCCTTACATGGATTTAAATCCATATTCTCTCTTTACTGAATCTCAAACATATTTTATACTAGAGAAGTACAAGTATTTTGAAAAATGCTGCAAATGCTATTGCACACACGTAACATCAGAGCATTACATGGAGTGATAACCACACACAGTTATATAATGTAAGACTTCTCCAGAGGGTTAAGGAAAATTCTAGAAAAATATTAAATCACTGTAGACTTTTCCCCCCCCCACTAATCCTCCAGGACTCCAAACAAAACAGAACATTTTTCTCCTCCACTGAAGAATATTTTTATTTTTACCAACCTAATATTACTCTAGATGAGAAAAGAGCCCCCATGCCCCTCAACCTCGGGGTTTACAGGAACAGCAGTCAGTTACCTGGCATGGTGCTCTCCATCACCTTTAGCAGAGAAAAGCATTTGATGCACACTGGAATAGTTTAACTCACCAATAAACGGAATAGAAGCCAAGGAGTCACCAGGTGGGCTGGAACCGGATGCTTTCCTTTCTTCTATTCTTTTTATGTGGACTTCTCTCCGAGCATCATTAGGTAACCAACAGGTAGTGTCTGAGGCTGGCTCTTGGTCATTTACAGCAAGAATGTAGGACTGATGCCTCAAAGGCTGTGGAGTCTGGTGGCCAGAAGGTGATTTGTCCCGCATGACCACTGTGTCTTTGTCATTTTCCTGAACATCCGTTTGCAGAATTTCAGGCTCATGGATGTCTTCCCTTTCGAAACCATGAACCTTTTGTCTGATGGAACCATCTACGTTGTCAGAGGTAGTTGAACTCTCACTTGTTGGCTGAACAAGTTTGGTGGAAGCTGGAGACAGAGAGGAGGGTTGGATGGTTTTGCCAGTTTCTGTTTCGTGATCTGGAGCACCTTCTGCTCGGATCCTTGACTGTTGGTTTAACAGACCATTCTGATGCAAGTGATTTACTGTTCTTTGGTCTTTGCTGGCAATAGCATCCAGGCTCCGGTTAAGGGGAAACGATGGTTTTGCTGCATAGGGAGCAGAGTTCTTCAAAGAGCTACTTTTAGAACTTCTGGCTGGTGTGAGAGACAATCTCTCTTGTGAAACAGCTGTAGGTTTTGAAACTCCCCCAGGAGTTTGCAAATCGTGAGAAGGCTGCAACAGTTTTATATCTGGTGGAACTTTCTGAAAATGAGAACCAGGGAGAGAAGCTCTACTGCCTGTTCTCCTGCTGTCTGAAATATAAGCACTCGGAGCCACAGAAAAATTTTGACTTCGAAGGGACATATGAAATGCATGCTGTCTAGATCTCTCATAAATACCTCGCCGATCGTCTTGTTCAGTAAACCCTGTCCACTTGTAAGTCTTTCTCCTATCTCCATTAGTATCTGTAATCAGATTCTCAGAATGAAAATTTTCTAGCACTTCACCCTGTTTGCTGAGATAATCCCATGACCGAGCCCTGTGATTCCTGGCGTTAACTGAAGGGGAAGTTAGAGTATCTTGAGAAGCACTTCGTGGCCACTCTTTCATCAACACGGGATCTTCAAGCCTTTCCTGGGATACACTTCTCTGCCGGATCTGAACAGACTGCGGCACCCTGTCGTGAGAGGTGCTCCTGCGCCGTACCTGTGAAGCAGTGCGATTTGGCACCACTTGATTATAATCAGTTGTATTCTGAGAAGCTGCTCTTAAACTATCTAACCTTTCCTGTATTGTTCGGGAGCCATACATGTGCATGCGCCTATTATCGATGTACTCTTTGTAAGTTTTATAGGTCTTCCAGTCTATATGCTGGTGGGATGTTGGAGAACTGTAATGATTAGTAGAGACTGAGGGTGAGTCCGTGGCTTGAGCAGGAGGTCTAGTGCTTGGGATTCCTTCTGGACATACTACGTAATTTGAAGCTTTACTTAGTGTTCCAGTTGGATCAACTGGCCTTGTTATTGGAGTCTGGGGAAGTACAATGGCAGTGGACACTGAAGAAGATGGTGACGTGGTCCGTGCTTTTAGACTGGTTTGATCTTTTAAGCTGTATCTTACTTCCTCTGTCCTGTGTGATGGACCAGCGTGATTATTTCTACAAGATGGCAAATCTACAGCCTTCTCAGAAGGCACAATAACAGTCCTTACAGTTTCATTGCAAACACACACAGCTGTATTTGATTTTGCAATGTCTGTTGGTGATGGAGGCACTTGTATTTCCATTCTGTAGGCTCTCTCTGGCTGTGTCAATGCCCGTACTGGTCTACTGACTTGCTGTTTCCCCAGTGGAAAGTCAGATGATAGCTTGTCACCAGCTTGTGCCATAACAGAAGCTGTGGATGTCAGGCGTGGGTAACATATTGGGGGTGGTTCAGGTATGTTGTGGGCATTACCGCTGTAGGCTTCGTTGCCTTTCAGGTAGGCATCTTGGGAATATGCCTGTGGAGAAAAGATTGAGTGTTCAGTAGTGAGGGAGATAGAAAAGTTCACCATCTAGCCTTTGCATAATCAAGCTTCAAGAAAGAGAACACAAGTACAAAATTCACACTATCTATAATTTTAGATAAAACATTAGTTGAAAAGATAATAGTCTCATCTCCTTATTGAGCAGAAACAGACTAAGCAAAATCATTACATACATGCCCTCCCTCAACAATTAAAAAAATGAACTGATGACCAATTCTAGGAAATACTGCAGGTAAGGCACTGAGGCAGGTTTCCCAAAATCCATGAGCACAAACCACAGTATTTTTCTCCCCCTTAATTTTGCTTTCTATCATGATGCTTCACACATATTTCCTGTTTAAGCTTCACGTTGCTGGAAACCACAATTTCACAGCAATCAACAGGTTAAAATGCTGCATAACACATTTAACTAGAACTAGAAAATTCTCTATTCACTTAGTGTATAAAAGAACTCTGTTTACTTAATGTAATACATATGAAAAGTACACACAAATATACATACACACACTCCTCTAAGATGTCTTCTACATAAAAGCTACTGTTCCTAAACGTAAAATGAATAAATTGCAGCAGTAACATTTTTGTTGTGAGCCAACACCCTGTAAGTCATTTTACATTTTACAGGAGACAGACACTACATAGCACACATCTTACTGCAAAAATATTAATAATATGTAAGGTATTTAACTTCAAGGTACAAACAGTATGAAAATTAATACATATCCACTACTGTCCACACACTATTAAAAACTCAAATTAATTTCCTTAGTGCATTCATTTGCCCCTTTATGTTTAAGAGCCTGACTCCTAACCAAAAAATGGTTATATTACACTCAGAATGTTTCTGTAGCCTTTCAGAAAAGCAGTATTTATCATTGTGAAATTAACAGAACATTCAAAATAATAAATCAATGAGAAGCATACAGCATACTTAAAGAATATCCTATTACTGAAAAACTTTAGCATGACTTCGTTCAGTTTAAACATAATGAAATAAAGAGCCAATGCAGAGCCTGCCAATGCAAGAAAAGATTAAAATGATTTCTTAGGGCTTTTACACATTAAAGGTGTGGTATCGTATCACAGCATTTCCTGTCCAAATCATAACATGCTCAATTCCAGAATATCAATGTGCCCTGTCTTAACACCAGACAGGTTATAAAAGCCCAAGTGCAGCCATAAAATTAACACAGAGCAAAGTACAGAGGAGGGCGAGGCATTTACAATACTGCTGCAATAAATGTTACACCAAGCATTAGTGAAATGCAAAATATTAAAGCACACCGAGAAAACCGACCAAATAACACAGGCACAAAACCACAAATTAAGAGATTAGCGTTATGAAGAAAATTCAGCTCAGACTATCTATGTCATTTCCAACAAACTTGCTGTTTCATATTCTTGCTTCTCACAAATCACTTAAGAAAAACATGCCTTACAAATGGCTACTGTATGTTTCTTACCAGTGCTGTGACATCCTTTGTAAACTGCAGCTGGCAGAAAACAGGAAAACATAGTAAAAGCTGCTTACAGATGTGAAGACAGAATTATGTTGTCATATTGATGTTGGATACAGCAAGCTAAAAATACAACTACACCGATTTCACTGGAAGGTACCAACAGAAGTAAAGGGCAGTAGAACATAAAAAAAAAAAAAACCACCTTCACCCTCCTTGTGAGCACATCCATCTCCAGCTTTTATCTGCTCCTTGCATTTATCCTCTACCCTTACAGAAAGCAAAATACATTTGTGCCATTTTGCCTTGGTGCATCCCTACAGCTGCCTGCAGAGAGCTCTGGCTCTATGCAACACGACTTCCCTTCCACTACAGCAACATTACTGTCTCTCATTTCTCCTGGGCTGCTACCATCCCTGCTTCCTGGTGACGAAACAACGGTTTTATTATGCATTTAAAACTGCATGCCCCTTCCCCACATATATCTGAACATGACCACAATCTGTCAGCTGACTGCAGCTGCTTTCATGCCATACATCTGAAATTAGAGGAATGATGCTGCAAAAACACTCCACTCATGTGACTTCTATTTTTTTTTTCCTCCACTCATAGTAAAAAAAATCAAGCCAGGTTTCCACTGGCACATTTAATGGAGGAAAGAAACATACAAAGATAAAAATTCCTAAATCTTTAAATAAATGGCTATTCAAGACCTTGACAGGCTATAAGAATTAAGAAAAAAAAAAAACTGGAAAAGATGCTGAAGACCCAGAAAACAGATAGAGCAAGAGACTACTGGCATGCAAGACAAAAACAATCACCCACCCCAATCAGAAAACAATTATTAATTTATATAGCCAATAAAATAGTTCAAAACCTGGGATACACACACACTCTACACCAATATAAAATATACCGTGTTTATGTTTTGTAAAACATGCCCAGGACAAACAATGCTTCATTGACTTTGACAGCAGAAAGGCTAAATTCTAAAACTGGTGTGATTTGATCATAGCTGAAGACTACAAATGAGTAAAAAAAAATCACTTCTCAGCTCTTGACAAAATTTATCACAGATATTAAAACATCTTCAGAAGACAGCATTCTCATCGGGTCCAAAATGAGATCAGCTAAGCTTTCTTCCCCCTTCCCCCAACAAAGAGTATGTTTCCATGATTGCAGGTATATCCGGACAGACAGACTGCCAGTTCTGAGTAAGGCAGAGTTACTGGAAAAAAAGGATTTGATGATGGAAAGTGTGGTTCTCCTTTCAATCTCACTTCCCAAGAAATCATGGAAAGAAAGCTGAATTTTCTTCCAAGAAAGAAAAAGTTTATAAATGGGGGCTGTGACATTTCCACAAAGAATATTAAGTATCTTTGTTTCATAATTCTGATTAAGGGCCCATAGAAAATTATTGCAACTTAAAGAAATGTACAGATCTGATGTGAATAATGTCACACAATGATGCATTATCAGCCTTTTTACTGTGAAATATTTTAATTGCTTTAACCAGAAGGTGATGGCTAAATCTTTAGAAGAGGTTTAGAGACTAAAGAACATGAAGTACACCAATATATTTATCAGCATTTGTACACTATTTTGACACTTAACATATTTTGCAACTACATATAAAATACAGCTTGAATATTACTCTTTTCCCTTTACGTCCCCAAATGATATAGTATGTGGAAATACTACCTTAACCTCTACGTGATTGCAACAGAGGATACACTTACAGCAGTTATTCAGAGGTTCCAACATGATCGAAAAAAAAAAATCAGTCCTGATGTTTTATGAGTTTTTTCCCACCTCCTCAAAACGGCAGTTATGGAAAGCTTACCATACAAATACAACAATTTAGAGTGACATTAACAGCTTTGATGGATAACAGCTCTGCCACAATTACTAGAAGAAAACTGGTGTGCTTACAGTAAGAACTCTGTGTGTTTCCAGTTATTGGGTACAATTTCTTCCCCACCTCGCAATCTAGTTTTGTTTGCACCAAGTTTGCAAACTCCTAAGAATTAATTTCTTCCTGCGAATTTGTATAATCATTAGTACATGAAAGGTTTAACTGGTAAGGCAATACTTTCATGCCATATGATATGCAAAATAAATTTTAAGCAAATAAAGCATTCCACAAGATATTTTATTAACTCTCAAATTCAGCTGAAGGGTTTTGCTCGCGTTCTTTCCCAACTTGATTTTATGCCACTTGATGTTAGAATAATGACAGCCAATGTACAATGTTTCCTCTTACAAAGAATCACGGTGAAGCCCCATACTTTCACAAGCTTGGGCCAACCGTGTCCTACAGCCTATAGTCCAAATCCATAAAAGCATGTAGGCCTATGCTTCACTGAGGATTAGTATGCTTCACCGCACTTCACAAAAGGATGAATAACAACACTGATTTCAACCGAACTATTTGAAAATTGGAGATAAGCATTTTGATGAATCAGAAGCTAGTGTGCCCAGCACCTTGCAAGACTGAGCTTGAGGCATTCTTCCTTCCTTCTCCAACCAGTTTGGCTGCAGATTATGTTTCTTTACTACAAAATTCTTCTCTTCCCTGGTCCTAACTTATTCTCATATTTAGCATGAGTACAGGAACTGCACACCACAAAAGGTTTTCAGCTGCCTTAAAAGGAAACATTTTCCAGTTACAGTTTGCTCTGGCAAGAACGTTTGTAATACAGCTCAAGTGGTTTCATTTTACTCAGACACCCAGAAAACACTATGGTCACATTACACTACTTGAGAGGAAAAAACCCACAACAAACCCCAAAACACATACCCATTCTTCCCAAAGGCAGTGAAAATTTAGTGTATAAAATTTAATGCCTTAAGCCCAATAAAGTTAATTTCCACATACAAGCTAAGTAAGACACTTTCTTGTAAATATTAGCCTAAATCAAGGTGAGAAGAGTTGATGCAAATGGTATTTTCTAACGTATGCAATGTTAGATAAAAAACAGTTTAAGTCTCCTCTCCTAGGTCACCATGTCTTTATACCACACCCCTCCTTCCATTGTACCTGCTGCCAGAGCTTTAATATTAACCTCTGCACACAGTAGTAACTGCGTCAGTACACAATCTGAAAGTAAAGAAATGCTCCAAGATGCTGGACTAAATACAGTTACTTACAAAAACATCTCTAGTTCATAAAAGTAAAGCAAATGAAAATATTTCAGTTTGCCAATGAAACGGCCATGTTGCTTCTTTAGGTCTGATGCAAGTGGATGGTCTCAGGAAAAAAAGAGAGAAAAGACAGTATTGTTAAAGTTGACTGTGGGCAGACCTGTAGACAGGGCCACGAGGTTACTGGGATATATAAATCTCTAGAATAAATTTCCTTATGTAAGTTATTTTTCTTTTTTCTTATTTTTAATACAGATGCATCACTGGCAATTTCAGGGCACTGCATGGCTTTGAGAGCTGCCAAATTCCAGAAAAATTTTAAGTATCTCAAATGGCAAAGCAGCAAACTCTTCTTTTCTGCCCAGATCTCCTGATATACTGAAAACTTACATACCACTTGACTAGAAAGAGAAAAAAAGAAAATATACGCTTCAGTTGACTTTCTCTTGCTTTCTTGGTCATGCCCATCTAGGATTTTTTTGTTCCCCTACTATGACAAGAGAAACATTTCTGTTCAAACATGGTCAGCTTTCAGTTATCAATATGCAGTTTCAATGGTCTGTAATTTTAAGGAATGATTAAGATGTAAATTAAAGAGATATGCTAGAGGAAACTAAACATGTCAAAACCACATAGTAGTAAGCTGCCCCTTTTTATTTCCACATTTACCATTATTCACAGAATGCCCAATAAAATCTTTCTGTAAATGAAACTACAGAGATTTTTCTGGAATGCTAAGGCAAGTTTCAACAGATTTGTAAGCTACTAAAATTTAATGGTGTCAACACCCAGGACTAGAAATAACCTGCTACCTTTTGAGGCAATTCCTATGAGGAAATGATTTTTTAAAACTTATTCAAAATGAAACTGTTGGAGGTACGATAAATGTTAGGAAAGATGAACTTTTGGTTGGGTAGTGATTGAAGTGCCAGAAAATGAAAGATGAAAAATCAGGATAACTTAACTATAGCATGTGTGTTTATACACACATACACAAAGTAGATATACATATTTACGAATTAATATTTGTATATATTGACATATAATAATCCCTATAAACATTAATATGCCACATTACAAATAACCTTCCAAATGAACAGCTCCAATATAGATCGTATGAAAGATGACATTTTAAAAGTGCTATTTTCAAGTGCCTGATACTTAAAAATGCAATGCTTTGTAAGCCATACTCTTCTTTACATACACAAGGAATTATTAGCAAACAAGCAAATTCCAACATGAACACACCTCAAAAAAAGGTCAAAAAATCCTGCATGCTAAGGACACCCCAACACATACACATTAGACACTACAAAGTCTACTGAGAAGAGTCATAATCAGGCTGACCTGTAAGTGGCCTTTGCAATTTCAATTTTCCCTCTCCCTTCTCTCTAGGGAGCACACCTTTACACTGAGTATTTTGTGCAGCACAAAAAGCTTTTGAACAACTGAAAAGTGCCACAATTTGAGCAACTTTTTAGCATTAAATTTATTCTCCAAAGGCTACAAAACAGCAACAATTCCATTAAATACACTTGAGAAAAGGAGCTATATGTAGTCGACCTAAATGTGTCTTCCCATTCATATTAAGTCAGCAGTACTAAAACCTAAAAGATGCCAAAATTCTATCCAAAAAGATTGAGAATGCTACAGAAATTGTATATAGATACATCAAATTTGAGACACTGAGGAGAGTATAATATAGTAATAATAATCATTCTCATGGTCTCAAGATTGTTACATACCTACAAACATTTCAAAATTATAAAAAGGTATTATTTTAAGTAAACTAATCTCAAATTTGAGGAGGAACAAAAAAAAAATCCCAACAGATGCGTGGTTGTCAAGTTCAAGTTTTTGTCATGGATAGAGATGTTTTAAACATCCTTTCCCCCATCCCCAAAGAGACATTTCCAAGATCATGCTAGGGAATGAACACGACTGACACCGACGTCACTAATAGCATGTTTTCACATGTAATTCCCTTCTAAGGAAAGAGCATACACATGCCACAGACAGCAGTGACCTATGTTTTGGACCACTTCATTGTTACTATTGATGAATGCTATTTATAAATAGCCAACTAAGGATAGAAACAAGCAACTGTGCTCTTTATATAGTTACCCTAGCAATCAGTCATCACCACATGGAGTAGACTGCCAAGTACTATAAAACTTACCACCACCAGCATCATTCCTGAATATAATGAAACTAGTTCATCCTCATTGCATTAGATAAACCTTTCATTAGCTCCTACCACAATATCCAGTAGTGCTTTGAGCTCTTCTGGTTTTACTGGTATGTTACCAGTATTTAACATCAACACTTTACAATGAGTGATACCATCTGAAGATACTTTCAGTGAAATTTATGACATATGTCAAAGAAAACAACTAAATTCTTTAACAAAATGTAACAACTTAAATAACACAACTTCGGCAACAAAAGTGTAACTTTTTCCTCTATTCATAAGGGCACTGTACCTTACCATTTATTGTTCACTTTGCACTTATACTGACATTACGACTACAGAGATTATTGTTAAGTTTCCACGTACTTATGAGCTGTACTTCATTCAGGAATAAGCATTTGCTCTGAGGTTTATTTCATTTAAACGTAAGATTTCCACAAAAGCTAATACAGCATTAATCACAAAGATAAAAATAGAAAAACAAAACGAAAAAGTACAGTTTCTCAGCTGAAAAAAAAAAGTTACTGTCTTTTCACAGGGAGTGAAAGGAATAACATTCTATACTGTTACTCTGAAAATAGTTTAAACATGAGTGTTCAGCTTTGAGCAAAGTTCTTCACCCTATCTTGTCATGAGAACAGTAGATCCCAAGATTTAAAGACTGAAGATTAATAATCAATCTTCAGAGGAATTGCATAGATTTTTTTTCACCTGACTGAAGGTAGAGTGGTGCATTGTCTGTCAAAAACCTGCTAATTGTTATTTTAGAAGTTATAAGATTTTTTCTTCCTCTGCGGTGGCCTAAAACAGAGAAAACTATAGGCCACAACTGATGACCTCTGTTGTATGATGCATTTTTATGATTTGTGTCTTCACATGTTGCAACTCTGCCATCAAAGACTGACACCTGAAAACATACATACTAAAATACAGACCATAACAGAAGCGCGTGAACAAACTGCAGCTATCAGAAGTCTTTTCCAACAGGCCTGAGTACACTCAATGCTCAGTCTTGTAGACTACAGAAAACATCTGTCTCTTCATGGCTTTCCTCTGGCAGATGCTATGTAGAACTGAGTCCTCAAGACAAGCCTGCTTTTACCCCAACAAATGCATCATAGCATAAGGAGCATAAACTCCTCCATGTTGTATCATAATCGCATACCAACCCAACACAACAGCAAACAAACTGTCAGAACGAACTCATATAAGCTAGAGTAGCAATGCAAAGCATTTTTTGCAAAATGACTCCACCTCTTAAACCTAATCCTCTTTCTCTCTTCAAAAGAAGAGCCTGGAACACAAAATTCGCAACTCTACCACATCTTACAACTCAAAAGAAACTTTTTATTAATGATACCTGGAAATTATTCCCACACACATCTCCAGGTTTTTTTCTAGAACTCCCACAGGCAGATACTTTTTACTCTTTACTCCTCAATCTCCTCCAGGAAAATGACCTTATTTTCTTTTTACTTCTCTAGCCCAAAGGCAAGGTCTTTCTTCCTCATTATCCTGATGAGACGATGTTAATCACTAAGCAATTCCAGAAGGAGTGATCAGCTGTGAGCAGCTGCCCATGCAACTCACAACAAATACTTTTTTTTGCAGAATGTTACCTTTTTCTGTATATCAACTACTCAAAGATTTATTCCATATATAAATTGTAACTATGTCCTGGTTCCAGCTGAGATAGAGTTAATTTTCTTTCTAGTAGCTGGCATAGTGCTGTGTTCTGGATTTAATTTTCCAACTGTTAACCAGAAAATCTACCCTGTTTGTTGTCTTCTCCTTTCCTCTACTTCCAATTAAAACCAAACTAGAACACATCAATACATTAGGTGTTTCTCTAATTCTTCAAAATATGCACTTACAAATCATATTTTATTTACAGCTCTTTTGGACTTACAGACACTAAATGGCAGAGTAATTATCTCACTACATATGCAGGACTTCAGTTCAAATTAAGAACATATAGGCACTAGTGTAACAAAATATTTACAGCAATTACATTTTAAAAATTTGGTAATAACCTTCAGCACATTTATCACCTGGCTTCTTTCCTGGAAATCCACTGACGATTAGTGAGTTATTAACAAAAGCTAATTTTAAGTGCCATATGCTAGTTTTTTAATGATTCCTAACTTCTTTAGAATGAGATAACCTAGTTAAAGAAAGCAATCTAATTCATAAATTCTAACATGAGGAAACTAATCCAAAATATAATAAAACTATAAACATTGTTCTAAGATTATCTTTTTTAAAAAAATACGCTAGAAATGTCATGTGAAGAAGTTATTCTCACCTATATTTGGATTCCTCTGAAATTTCAAGCAAGTTGGAAAAATATCTAAAATTCATGGCAAACAAGTAGAAAATATCTAAGGAGTGACAGAGATATAAATGCTAACTAACTCTTTAATTATTTCCTGGTAGCACAGTTCAAAGCAAGAGCAAGACCTTTTTCTTTAATCAATGTACTGTCTGAATATAAGCTTCATAAACATACCAATTGAAGAATGTCCTCATCTTTTGGCATAACACTAAGCTCCAATATGCTGTCACTGAAAGAAATAGAAAAAAAACACCGCACATGAATTTTTGGAAAAGATTTTCAATTTTTGTTACAAAGATTAACTTCCATAGACCAACACCATTCAAAAACTCCCACACTCAGCTATTCTATCAGATTACTTTATACTACAGAAATAAATACTGATTTTCATTAGAGTCTTAGCAAATAAGAGTAGAACAGAAATCTGACTGAAGAGTACATCTGTGTTCTCAGCAAAACCAGTGTATTAAGCCAACACACTGTCTTTGCCAGTTTTGATTCTTTTTTTCCTTCTGGAGTCCTAAGGTACATTAGTTGTTAGGAGCTTCTCAGACAAAACAAGGTGGCAAAACCGTGAACAAAAGTTAAAATTTCTCTCTTTCTTCCATTTAAAACTAAAGTCTGTGGGAAAGTCATAACCATCATATCATGTGAAGAGTGGGGCAATAGCAAGGCAAGCACTGACTTACACCTTTCACTCCAATCATCTCCCAGCAAAATCAACTTAAACATATTTAATCAGCCAGACGACATCTGAAATATGGATGAAAAACACTTGCCATAAGAACTGAGTTTGTCAATCTGAATTGCTAAAACAAAAACCAGCAGCAGCATAAAGATCCATGAATCCAGATAGTTCAATCAATATAATTTAAATACAGGCAAAATCAGGACACTGAATGTATAATGTATCGGTTATCCAGAGTCAAATATTGTAAAACAGTGAAACCCACAGTTAATATCCACCACAAAAAAAGTATTTTCACAAGAGAGAAGTATATGCTTGTAACACTGGATATAGAACATCTGAATTCATTATCTCATCTGAGAGAGAGGAATACTCTGTTCACATTCATTAAATGTAACCTGGAACAGGTACAGAGAAGGACTGTGAAAGAGACTGCTTGTGCAGACTATTTTAACTAGGCTCACAAAAAAGAAAATGAAGAGATTATGACTGTTACTTAGAAATCTCACGTTACATGTCACAAGGAGAAAAGGTATTTAAACAAACTGACCAATACCAGCACCAGAAAAAAAAAAGCATATAATCTAACTGGATGTATCAGACTGGAAATCTGTACTGGTCTGTATCTGTACTGGTCAGTACAACGCATTTGCTGAGAAAAGACAAAACCAGCGCAGAGATGGGCCACCAAATTCAGGGCACACAGAACAGCCCAGGACATCACCGAGAACCACCTCGGTTTCTTATTTCTGCAGAAAGGAGAGTCATCTTCTCAAACACGTAAGGTGTGATTTATTATGCTATCTTATATGAAAAATGTTTTTATTCTGTGGTTCCTTTTCCATTTGTTAGTGACCGCAGACATAAGGCTGCATTCCAAAATAGCAGGAGTAAGAGTATTTGGTTTCACAACCTTCTTAAACCATCATCCATTTTGGAAAAAAGTGTTCTCCAAGCAGCATAAATTAGTTTTAAAACCAAAGATCAGCAGTGATAGATTTAAGTTTTTCAAGTCTATGCACAGGTAGGAAAAAAATAAGTCTTCAGAAGACTTTTAAAGATTTTTCCGAATATTGAATTTTAAGAAACACAAAAGTATTGAATTATGTGCATTTACGATAGCATTTCCCATTTTGACTGAATGCATAAACAGCAAAACTATTTAAAATGATGTTTTAAAAGTGGTGTCATCAGAAATTGACGGTCACCTAAACTCCTTTGTATGGATATTAAACTATTTAGCAGTTGTAAAACAAAAAGAATATAAAAGGGATACCACGGCTTGAGGCATTTCCAATGAAGTGCTCAGATTTCATTTCTACGTGCAGGTAGCATGTATGTGTAAATTGTATTAGGCAACTTATGGTTTGAAAATAATTAATGCTTATTTGCAGGATGAAGATTTGGAAGTTAAAAATATGATAAATAGCATTGTTCCTCTTCAAGTACTTTTAATATAAAGTTTTCTACTGTTGGACAACCTGGTCTAGTGGAGGGTGCCCCTGCCCATGGCAGGACAGTTGGAACTAGAGGATCTTTAAGGTCCCTTCCAACCCAAACCATTTTATGATTCTATGACTTGTAATTAGATACAGAACAAACTATTCTCTTATACAAGTATTTTGTGTCCTTTTTTTTTAAAAAAAAAAAAAAAAGAAAAAAGAGAAAGGCATTAAATCCATTTACAGTTTAACACCTTTTTTAGTAGCCATCCAAAAGAGGAAAGGGTTCACACATTTTGAGAGTCAAATTTAAATTTATTGACTCAAACTAAAGTACTATGATGCACTGTCATCATAAAGACTTTTGATGTATTATTTTGTATTAATGAAACAAATTCAGTAGCTAAACTCTGTACGTTTCTGAGTAATGCCAACACTTTCAAGAATTTGCAAAGAGAAACAAGTGTAATAGACTTAATCATTCACATTCCCCACAATTAAAAAGAAAAAGTTAGGAATAAGAATCTGTTTGTTGTTTTATTTAGAATCACAAATAATTTACGGAGTTTACATTAGTAATCAACACATCTCCAAGTTGGTCATGTAAACAGATGAGAATAAATTCTTAATTGACCAAACTAACAACTATTGGTAAAGCATAGGAAACCTAGACTTAAAAGTGATCTCATGACTAATCTTACAGGACCGTTATTTCTAGCAACTCTTTTGACGTGTGCCCTTCACCTTACAGAGGAAATAATCAGTGTAAGTTTACCTTTGTTATCTCCAACCAGAGTAAAATAGATAATGTTCTAGACACAGCCTGAAACTGTTCTGAGAAGAATACAAAACTTGGCTGAATTATATCCCATCCATAAGTCCCACTGGAATTTATGGGGATCATTTCATTTAAGACAGCTAAATTCTGATGTCTGCAGCATTACATAATGAGGACAAACAGCTACAATTGAACAACTTCCTAGAAAAATAATGAGCAGCTATGGGAATGGAGCTGCAGGAGTAATCTAATTCAAAAATCTGTAAATCCAAACTGAGTTTCACTGCAAAACAGCTGAATGGCGAGGGGGGGACTTTTTCTTTAGAGGTAAGAGTTGATAAAATGTGTTGTATCCTTAAAAACTGCTCTGAAGATGATCAGAAAAATAACAAAAGAATAAGCACTTACAGTCAGCAATATGTTTGAAAGGGTAATTAAAAACAGTAATTAAAAATACAGTGATTAAAATGTTTAGAAAACCATCAAACAACATACTGGGACTATAAATGAAACTGTCTTTAGTCATAAGTAAAGGAGATTTCAATTGACAAGTTACACTTTCAAAAGGCCTTTCAGCAAGCTGTGTGCACAAAGCCTACTAAAGAAACTAAGGTGTGCTGGATGACAGATTAGCTAAGACACAAAACAGAGCAAGAACTGTGTCACTGGGTATTTTTAATATGAAGAGTTTAAGTACATTCAAAAGCAAACTTGTGCAAGACCAACATATCAAGAACTATTAAATCAAGTGATGCAGATAAAACCTTTGGTTCAGCAAGTTCCTAAACCAGAGATTTCTGGAAAGTGGGCTAGTATTATCTGACCAAATCTATACTTTCAGTGTTTTCATAGTCTTCTAAGAATCTGTTACAGGATATTATCAGGCAGGATGCTGACATAAACAGACCACCCGTCTGACCCAGGATGGCTATGCTGATGCAAGAATGGCATGCCAAAGCAAGAAGCATACACCATAATGTAATTTTACTTGCCATGAAATGGCAACACAAACCGTCCTGAGCTCAAAAACACTGTTTTCAAGCAAAGAATGAGAGAAAGTTCATTCTTTAGTCCTATGAGAAGCATTGCCTGTAAGCTACAAGGAAGATACGTCTGGTCTGGAGTCCGAGTTCTCTTTATGGATCAGAATTAATATTAATCTGTTTATCTTAAGAGGTTCAGGTGAAGACTTCCTGATAGTTATACTTCCTATATAAAACACTTGAGGATACGTATGATCTTTTGTTACAATCTTCTGTAATGTACGCATTGAGGTCAAAGACAACAAATTGTTCACCTCTCCTAACTACAACCAGCATCCCTTCATCTGCACACTCATAGAAATTAGGGGGACAGATGCAGCAGAGTGCTATACCATTCCTGGTTGCACTAGATAATCACTGATAAGACCTTGTTCAGGTGTCCCTGCTTTATCCACCGTGGGCAGGGGTTGCATTCTGCTGGGACAGTTTGCTACTTACACTCACAGGGCTGAAAATAAAGCTTTATTCACAGGCAGACCTGGAGTTAAGAATCTCTGACCCCATAGGCCACTGGAAGATATGACTGGTGTCTCTCTTTTTTGGATTACGGTAAGAGATTTCATTGACTGATGTACCTGTTGGGCATGTAATGTCCTGTGTCTTTGGTATACACTATTGTATAGTATTACTGCCTGCAAAAATACAAAATGAAAAAAAAAAAAAGATAGATGGCTAGTGTTATCTCCAGTAAAGGTTACAAAAAAGTAAGATTCCACCTTTCCAGCTCTTGTACAGAAAATACTAATGACACAAAATGCATTTCAGTCTACCTTGCCCATCATACCTTTGAACAGAGTTTTGTTTCAGAGTTTCAAAAAAACCCCAAAAACCCTGTGATATATTTTGAATGAAATTTTGAATAAGGACTCCACTGAAATAGGAAGATCAGGATCTTATTTTTCCTACTTCTAACTGAAAGCATAACTAAGTTTTAACGCATGAAGAGTCACTAAAAATAGAATATGACATGTGAGTTGTATTTAGAAAACATGTTTCCATGCTGATCATAATATATCTTTTTTTCCACATAACTCATTATTATGTTGGAAACTTGTTGCTATAGAACAGAAATTGACACTAAGAAAACTAAAAATGGAGGCAGATATGAGACATGAAAACTAGTATCTAGATTCACGTATGGACATGACTTAACAAGCCCTTGTGAATTGCAGGAGCAGCAAATACTACCATTTCCTCAACTCTGTGCAAGATTCATAACTTGCTGCAAAATAGAGGAAAGCCAAGATGTACTGCAGATGTTTTGTAGGTGGGCACTAACATAACATTATTCCTTTACCAGATATGCTGATTTCTAGTTCTCAGATCTCATAAGCAAAGCAGATTTAAAGATAATTTAAAGGTATGACAACTTCTTCAGAATGACTATAGGTGGTCATTTCCTGCTTAGTAAAAAAGTGTGGCACAATTAAATAAAATCTTACCTGTTCTGTATTAAAGCAATGACTTGAGAATATGTCTTCCCAATAACACTTTCTCCATTGACTTTTATAATTCTGTCACCTGTAAAGGGAAAAGTTATACTTTAATTTTTATAGACATTTTGAGATGATTTTTATTTTGTACTTCTGTATCTCACAATATGTTAAATTCCAGGTCAGCTGTCTTTAAAAATGAAAAAAGAAAATAAAAGATGCACAATACAGCTACATGTAACCATATACAGGATGCCAAGTTTCCACCCTCTTCTCAGCACATTTTCAGATGTGGTATCTTATTCTAAGCTTCCAAATGAATCACCTAGAAACTCACAAAAACCACAAGCAGGTGTAAGCTGTACCAGAGGCTTAACTAAGTATCCCATCTTCAAAATAAAGCTTTTTGATGCATGGTAGCACATTCTAACAACTCTACCCAATTCTTAAGTTAATGTGACATTTCATTCCAGCACTTAAAGTTTAGTTTTGTTTTGAGGTTAATTCAGAACACTGTAAGGTGTACCTGTGCAAATCTTTAACAGCAGCAAATACTGCACTTCTGTACTACTTCCTTCTGAGAAATAAAGAACAAACATTTTGAAAGGCTCCAGTTTCCTCCTTCCTCAGAATAATGTGGGTTGTTTCCAAGACATTACTGTCTCTTCAATGCATCTTGCACAGTGTAACGGGTTATTTCTTATCCACATAGATCCATCTTTAGACCTAACATCACTTTTATCAGATTTCTCCAAATAGTTTGTTGCACCTTCCTCATTAAGACCTTCATATACTCTCATAAATTAAGTGGCAAATATGTAATGTAGAGCTATTTTCAGCTTTTGATGAAAAACCCATCCCATTCCTTCACCAAAAATGGTATTTAAATCATCTCTGATCAGAAAAGCAAAAAGGTAGCTTGAATTTATTAATGAGGAGAAAATGGTCTAAAGCATTACAGGTAGGGAGCTTCGGAAAGCTGCTGGAGAAAGAACAACAGAAAGCTGGGACCTATGCAAAGTGAGCCAAAGGGAATGGCTTTTCCAACACCGCTTTAGAAAGTGAAAGCCCTTTTTATGTTTCTGGCATGAAATCAAAGCAAGGAAAAAGCTGTTCACTCTGAATACTCAGCCTGACTTGGTGGCAATAACCCTCTAAATGCTCGTGCTCTGTGGAGGTCCCCTACAGGCCACAGGGATTTCCAGACTTACCAAATCATATGGATCCGCTGACTTTTTTAATTTGGTCTGCACACACCATGTAAGATCATGCAAATAAATTGATGTGATATTTTCAAAAGTTTATATATGCCCTTTTATCAGCTGGTTATTGCCCTTTTCCTCACCTGAAAGAGTTTTGTCTCTTGCTTCCTAAGTGATGAAAGAAAGGTTGGTGGCAACATTTAATGGCTGCTAGCAACCCACATGACTGATAGGCATCTGTGATGGATAGCAAACCCTATACCACTGTTGCATACACATAGACACCTCACGCAATTAGGCTGAGAAACTGGACTTTCAAGAAAACAGAAGTTAATTGTGAAACGATTATCACACCAAAATAAATTCTTTCCAAAAGTTGCAGGAAAAACAGTATAGTTTGTGCCAAAAATATATTTACAAGCTCTGAACCCTGTCCTGCTAGGTCGCATGGCAAGACTTCCTCAGAACACACTAGATCCTTCTCTGGAACTTAAAACTGGCTTTTTTCCAGGCTGTTTCAGAACTTGCCCACAGATGTAGATCTTGACTCCGAATTCCCACTAAAATCTGTAATTAGGAGTATCTTTAAAGTCAGTCATATCATCTTATCTATTCTTGTGCAGTTTTTATTTTTCAAAGAAAAAGACTAGGTTACACATAGCAGTGAAGCAAGCCTATCTGAAGCATGCGTACAATGAACCTGCCACAAAAATCAGGCAGGACACACTGCAGAACTGGTTATATGAAGTGGGCACAGGCAACTCCACAAAATACAGCTTTGCTCAGTTTCAGGTACATATAAAGGGGAAGGCCAGTAACTGTAGTGCAAAAAAAGGGTACAGAAGCCTGAAGGCTTTATCTAATAGTGCTCTATCAATCCTGCGGCCTATTAAATACCTTTGATGAAACTAAAAATTAATCTGAATACATTTAAATTATGTCCCTTCCCACACACATTTTAGTTCTTTAAATTCTCACATATACTTAAGTGACAGCATGAAAATCAAGACATGGGAAACGTGTATCTGTTTTGGCTGCCTGTATTTCAGTATTTCTAAAATACTTATGTTTGGAACTCACAGATGCTCTTTTTTAATAAAATGCCTTTGAGTTTAAATATGGGAAGTATGATCTTTCTAACTCTAATAAAGATAATTTTACAGGAGTATTCAAAAATACTCAGAATAAATTGTCTTACATTTAAGATATTGTAACCTATTCCTCAAATTTCCAAAAGTATTCCAAGCTTTCTGGTGAGTAGCAGCCAGGTAGGCTCCTGAAACAGAGCTCATTGATTCTGGGTAACTAAGCTTTGGTTGAGACTGCCAGTATTAGAAAGGACTCTGCAGCAGTGAAATAAGAATTGACAAACATAACTACCTAAACTCATACTAGATTTTTGAGTATTTTCTTTTCATTAGTGTGACCATGAAACAAAGTCAAGTTAAATTACTAAAATAAATAAATAAAAAATACAGTTGATTCTACAAAGTAAGAAATGTATACAATGTCTGTATCAGAGGTTAAGAAATCTACCTTGCTGATCATTCCCTGAGTGTTTTATAATATAATTTCAAGATAGAGATACGGTAATATATTTCACCCTAAAGTTTTAAACAAGAAATAGTGGCATGACCTAATTAGATATCACTGCTATCAGCAGTGTGCTTAAGAAGAATATTCTGGTAATTTTAAAATGTATTTTCTCATTTATTTTCTGTTCTTTATTCTGGGCTCCTAAAAATCTCTTCTATGCCTAAAAATACAATATTCTCTACAGATTTCATCTCTTTCAATTTGGCAAACACTGAACAGAGTAGAAATTAACATGGACCTCTGTACAATTTCAACATATGCTGCTCTTTATCAAGCCAAAACATTTCTTTATATAATAGTATTAAAATAATGCCAAAGTATCCCTTCCCTGAATAACTACATAAGGAGGAGTTAAAGAAAAATGCCTTATGCTGTACAAGTAGGATCTAGTACTGTTTTTAAATTGCTGTCATCCCAGAATCTTTGCATTTCTTTAGGAAGAAACAAAAATTATTCTGTTCTAGTCAAATGCTTGTAAAAAACTGTTTTCAAAAGAAAATATCAACATCCCACTAGCAACACACAGTCCTTTCATAGAACATATGCTTTCCCACATTTGTAAGAACACAAACCTGTGTTTGTAGTGTGTCCTGGCTTCGGTGGTATCCAACTACGTAACTTACTGTTTTAACGTTTATAAGACTTCCCGTTCTAATATAGCTTTTGTTTTTTCCTTCGACACTTAAGTAAAGGTGTGACAAAGTTCCTGGCACTTCACAAAAAACATGCTTTCTCCTCTCCAGTTTGATTAAATCAAACAACTGAACAAAATTTGGTAAGAAGAGATAGATTTGGATTGTTTTCATTTAATTTAAAGGAGGTAGAATAATTTAAAGGACAAAAACCTGAATGTTTTGAGGTTTGCCACAAAGCACAAGAAACAGGAACTTACAGGTACAATTTTCCTCCCTTTTCTCTTTCTCCTCACGTATTTTATCATATACTTGTTCTTACTTTTTTGGATAATAATACAAACAGACTAAGACTTTAATGACTGAATATATTTTATATAGCACCTCCTGAGGGAAGACAGTGGTGCTTTTGAGATGAAAAACACCGGAGGACAATTTAAAAGAGAGGTTTCGAACTTCTGAAGGAAAGAACAATGTTTAAATGGAAGGTAGAACTACATGTAGAAGTTTAAATCATGTATTTTACATCATGTACACAAACATGCTATTGGTGTTATAAAAGAACAGTACCTGTGCATAGTCCAGCTTCAAAAGCAGGTCCACCCTCTTTAACTTGTTTAACGAATATCGTATCCATTGGCTCCAGTCTATTTCTTTGTTTTCCTGAGAAAGAAAGAATATTTCTTAAAAGCATCTAATTATACAGCATTACCATGCTTGTACTTTAAGAACTGTTTTGAAATGTAATCCTGCCATGTTCATCACTACATTAAATATTCAAGCTCAGTTTAGGATGAGGGAAGGGAGACTAGGAGTCCTAAAGGCAGCATTTTGTTTGGCTACGCTAAAGATCTTTTACATGTCTGAGGAATAAAAGAAAAGGGGAGGGGGGTGGAGAAAGAGATGCATCTCAAACAAACTTGCGAGTATGTCCCAGTCAGTGGTATTTTCAGGTTCATTTCATCATCTCATTGCTACTTCATCCTCATGCTGATGCCTGTACTATTCAGTAAGAATTACCCCTTCCTCTTCTAGATTGCTCTCTTGCATAAGATACAAAGCCAGACAGACAAAGTAAGAATTGGTAGTACAAACTGAAAAACAGAATTTTTAAATCTTTCCTTAGATGAAAAAAAAAGTTTATTTATAGTCCCCATGGAACGATAACTGATTTTCTAACAGTATTTTTCAGATGCTCCAAGATGAAGTCTAAAGTTTTCTTGAAAATTTATCAAAATTCAAAAAGCAATGTATAATTCAAAGTAAATTATAATGTCTGCACATACTGTATGTATCCATATATACATAACAAACACAGAAGTTAACCTATAGCAGTTAGAAACCATAACACTTGTTTCTTCTTACCTTCTCAGTACACACTTAATTTCTATGCTTCCAGAAATACAGGTACTTTGTGCTTTTACGTGCATGCCACCAAAGCTAAGTAATTCTTAGTTGAAGTAGCCACTTATTCCAAATACCAAGATGCGGGGTGGGGGAGAACGGCAGAACCTCAAAGGTTACATCCAGACAAGCTTCTGTGGTGCCCATGCTATCTTTAACAGCCTCCATCCCTCCCAACTCTATCACCAGTTACTACCCTCGTACCACACTCTCAGCTGGGGAAACACCACCCTTTGGAGGCTGTGTGATGAGCCAGCCTGGGGAACTGACGTGGATTGAAAATAAGGTGGATCAGGGTTCCAGTTTACCAGAAAACCCTGGCATATTGGAAAGGGTGGTATAAACTGCAGAAAAAGCAGGAGAGAATAAAGGGATTGCTTAAAACTGGCACTGCTGGTAAAAGAAATGCTCCTTGAAAATGGAGATTAGATTCTAATCACTTCTTTAGTGACTAATCGTTGACTTAGGCACAAATGGCACTGCTTTTGGAAGTACTTTTGCTACAGCTTTAAATATCCCACTGGGCCATGTTTACTAAGCCACAGCATTATTTATTGAATATAAAAAGGTGCCTCCCTTACCCTTTTTGGTTCAGTTTCCATATGGGAAAAGCTCATTATTTGAAGAATTTTAATAAATTACACAAAACCTGACTTCACTCTGACTCTGATTCACATTTTTCAAATAAAGTTTTAGCCCAATACCTTCACTCTGCAGACCCTCACAGTGTCCTGCCATTTTACCACAAAACACTTGAACCAAATGGTTTACTCATATGGCTCTAAATGGTTTCTCAAAATAACTCCAGATTGGTAGAATTAAAAAAAAAAGCTGATTTGATAGAATCGGATAACTACTATATACAAAGCAACTGAATTATAATTCAAGAAACTCCAGCTGGCAGCTCAGTCCCCAAGTACATTAAAATTTGATTAGCAGGACACAGCTACAAGACATACAAAATGCTCTTTGTGAACCAAAGCTATTATCTGTCATTTTTAATCTGCTGATTTAAATAGACACTGACCACATGACGGGTCTTGTCCTTTAAGAGGCAGTAATGTTTCAGCAAGTTTCTACAAGTTCCAAGAATAATTTACTCAGATGCCACGAACAAAAGGTTGCTTCAACCACTTATAAGAGCAAAGTTAAGAGTATGACCTTTGATAGGACCACCAAACATCCTTCCTAGTGTTGTCACTTCATCCTCTACTGAAGAGATTTACAATCCCAAAAGTGGAAATAAAAATAAAAATAATTGAGCTTCTATGACTCAATTTAATTTATAACGCTTAATAGCGGATACTTCCAACCCAACACCAAGGGTCTACCGCAGCTTCCTCTATAAAATGCTCATCAAAAAATGTTAGTGGCCTACTGCTAGTTCACTTAACACTCAAATGCTACCTTATGCCTTGTCCATACCTGAACACACAAAAGCAAGAGGTTAAGCAGATAAGGTTACTCCCATTCAATATCCAACACAGAATACCTTTAATAAACTTCTTCCTAAAAAAAAAAGTGAACCACCACCCTAAAGACAGAGATTGATTCAGGGACAAAAAATTATGACAAAAGGTTTGAAGTGTTGTTTACATTTGCAGGTTCATTTGACAGCTCAATAATATCCAAGTGAATCCAAAATACAAGTGAAGATGAGAAGGAAACCTAAGACTCCCAAGCTTTGGCAGATGAATACCTGCTCTTCATTGCTCCTTGGTCTTTTACATACTTGGATACAACTCAAAATTTCTTTCCATCAGTAACATATAAATGAACTTCCTTGAACAAGTAGTCTCAAAGAGTATGTTTGTATTTTGAGTTTGAAATTCAAGCAAAGCTAAACTATTTTCTGACAGTATGTGCTAATGATACTTTCTTAGACCAACAGAGGGGGAATAAATGTTGTAGATTACATCATTACAGAAATATATTCTGATTAAAATGGGTAATCTAATAACTTACCTCATGTCTCAAAATTTAACAATCACTACACTTCAATTTAATTGTGCCTAAATCTCCATTGGGTCCTGTCTGCACTCAATCATCAGGCAAAAGCAAGATGCTGTCCAAAATGTGAGCCTAAACTTCCCTCCTTTCAAAGTCCACCATCTAGAGCAGATTATCACAGTGGAACTTTTACACTAAGTTCTGCAGTCCTGCACTACATAGTGTCAGACCAAATTCACAATTTTCCTTTCTAATATTGAAATGTCTAATTTTTTTTGAGCACTCCAGCAATTCCTTACAAGGAGATACAGCAAAGAACAGTAAAGCTGCTCACGTTACTAGTCTGTCAGACATGAAGCCTTATTGCACCCTTCCCAGGCACAAGTAAAATTGGGAGAGGAGCGGCTGGAAAGCAGCCCTAAAGAAAGGGATCTGGGCATGCTGGCTCATACTGAGCCTGCAACATGCCCTGGCAGCCAAGAAGACAAATGTGTCCAGAGGAGGGCAAAGCTGATGAAAGGGCTAGAAGGAATGTCAGAAGCAGCTGAGGACTTTGAGCTTGTCTAGTTTGGTGAAGAGGAGGTTGAAGGGTGACCTCATCACGCTCTACAGCTTCCTGAGGAGGGGACGTGGAGAGGGAGGTGCTGAGCTCTTCTCCATGGGATCCAGTGATAGGACACATGGGAATGGTTCAAAGCTGTGTCAGGGGAAGTACAGACTAGACATTAGGAAGCATTTCTTTACCAAGAAGGTGGTCAGACACTGGAACAGGCTTCCTAGAGAGGTGGTCAATGCCCCAAGTCTGTCAGTGTTTAAGAGGCATCTGGGCAATGCCCTTAATGTTTTTTAACTTTTGCTCAGACCTGAATTGGTCGGCAGTTGGACTAAATGATCGTTGTACATCACCCCCAATTTCTATTCTATTTGCCAGTGCTTTTCCAGTGCTCATTACTGCATACTACTTTGCCTCCTCCCTCCACCTCTATACTTTTGTAAACAACCTTATAATTAAGCATAACATTGCAGGCTACCAGCAAATAAGACAATTTCTACCAAATCTTCCAACTGCAAGTGAAAAACAAGACATCACGTGCACACAAAGAACAGGCAACAGCGTGAGCTGCCAGGAACACACTCACACATGCAAGGAAGCAGTGCAGATGAAAAGCACAACTTCCGTGAAAAAGAATTTCATATTTACTTCATTTCTCCACAAGTGTAGCTATAAACAGAGATGCAGTCTTACATAAGGGCAATAAAAGAAACCGAAGCATATAAGGTTGCTAAGCACACAAGTTACCTGAGCAGAAACTGAAACACAGTCCCTAAGGATAACATTGTCCTTTCTTTATCAGTCTTGTAAGCACACAAAAATCTCCAGCAAGAGTAAATGGTCACCACTCAGGATAAATTAAAACTCGTACGTTATTGTCCAGGCAGTGATGTAGTTTTACTAACAGAGTGACTAAAATACTCCTTGCAGTGCAACCACTCCCCTAAGTGATGCTATTCAAATAAAAGTGTAACTTCAGAGAAGGCAAATTAGTGCCTGAACTTTCACTTCAGAGATTCGGTATCATTGGAAATAAGGAAATAAAAACGAATCACCCAGTATATAGAAGGCTCAATGCAAAAATTCACTGGCTTAAACAAGGATAGTAAGGAATCAGAGCAGTCTTTATAATGAAGTCCTTAGTCTAAACAACTGAAGTTAAGTAGTCTGAAGAACAAACACCTGTAATCAACTGCAAGACAAAACCAGAAAAGCAGTTTATTGGAAAAAGATTTTTCCTAACATACACATTTTTCATAACTGTATGCAAATCTCCTAATTAGTCAATTTTCAACCAAAAAATACTAATTGCTACCTTCAATAGCCAGTGAGATCAAAGTAGAATCTACAGAATTGTTTCAACTGTTGTTCAAATTAATGTCAAATAAAATTAAAACCTTTCTTCATAATAAATATATTTATCATCATTTAGGATCTAACCTTTATACTGCTTGGATCTACGCTGAGACTACAAGCCATGATAGGGGAAAGTAAGTTTCCCACTGTAAAGTTACAAGGAAGCTTTCCTGATAGATGTTTGAGATGCCAGAAGTGGCAGAGGGGAGTATACTGCACTGGCACAGCCGCCTGATTTGCAAAATAATAAACTTCTTACGCTCTCTCTCCCTGATAAAAGGGAATATTAAAAAAAAAAAATACTGAATTAAGAGTTGCTAACATTTATAATTGACTTACATTTGGGGGGTGTACGTCTCTCAGAGCAAGCCTCCTAGCTCCCCTAAATTTGACATAGAAA